TATTCTTTGAATTAATTAATAAATGAAATTAAAACAACTAAATTTAAAGATATAAAAATAAGAGGTAATATATTTTTATTTTTTATTAGATTAAATCAAAATATATTCAGAAAAAAGAAAAAAATAATTGTTTAAGAAAAGAAAAAAAAAAGTTCAAAAAAGTCAACAACAATAAAATTTGAAGCCAAATCCAAAAACATAAATGGGTTGCAAAAGTCCTGATCACCGAACCAACTAAAAAAACAAGAAAAAGGGGCAAAAGATAATTTATGATTAACGACACCAGACTTTGCGTGTAGCAGCATAATGATGCGGCTCCTTTCATGTCACATTCAGGTAAGAAATATATTAATATTTAAATAAAAAATATAACAAAATAAAATAAAAAAAGAAAGGCCAAACAAAAGTTGGAACCTTTTCCTTTTCCTTTTCGAGCATTCATTATTTGGTAGCTTTTCAAAATAAGATTAGAAGAATGTGTGTATTTTTCTTATTTTAAAGGAGTTTTCCCTTCATACTTCCATTCTTGAGTCTAGACTTTTTAGGTATTTGGACTCCTAGAATATTGATTTAGTTGCTTTTCTATTCTTGGGCTTTTAGCCCCATTAAATAACTAAAAAAAAAAACAATACATACATTTATCCTATACACTATGGGAATAATGAGAATTGTATTTTACACTAAAAAATAACTATAATTGGAGATATTATTATTATTTCTAGTATAGAAATTTTATAAAAATAGAAAATGTCTATCCGTTCAATATAGTTTGAACTATTGATTTATATAATTAGAAGTAACTAATTAGGTTTACAAGGAAATTTAAAAATTAATTACTAATCCAATTTAAATTCCTCTACAAAATAAACCTCAACAAAAAAAAAACTAAAAAATAATGTAAGTGATTGAATTCAGTAATTTCTCATAAAATTATCAACTCTATTGATATAGTAATTTAAAAAAGAGAAAATTATCTAAGAGTATCAACAAAATTGGAAGCACACTTTGTTTCAAAAAGATAAAAATAAATTCTCATTTTATTCGACAGCTCAAAGGCAAATTAAAATATAAGCAATAATAATTTTATAGATTCCCTAAGAAAAAAATAGAAAATGTCTTCTAATTTTTAAATAAAAAAATATTTTACATTATTTTTACAATACTACTTCCTATAAATTTTTTATCTCAATCACATTAGTTGTCTTATCTCATATATTTTTTTAATCTCTATATATATTTTTAATTCCTCTCTCCTCTCCCCAAAAGAAAAAATTGTGTTTGGTTTTTGGTCCTTCAATTGTTGGCTGATGATCAAACGAATAAAAAATAGTAACTAACGCAAGAATGATTGCTGATGATCCAACGAAAATCTTATTGAAATGTAATAGTTGGGCCGTATTGGACATTCCATAATTATGAATGTTAAATTGAATCACTCAGTTTTACTGATGAAATTCATAATTGCTAAGTTTCGGTGAGGGAGCTTTTTCACCAAAGATCTTTGTCACTTCTCACAAGGACATTTATTTTTATCAATTTTATTATATTATTTAAATATCTAAAAATTAATACTGAATATGATATTGGGTTTTTTTAAAAAGAATATTCACCCCTTATCATTAGAAGATATTCATCAGAATTGTACCATCCTAAGCCATTAATGAGTTCTTGTGCACTTCAAACTGTGGGAGCTTTTAAAGCCCCTTTCACCCAATGACTACTCTAACAGCTTACATTTGATATACCATAAGATCTCTTTCACAATTATAGAAAATATAATCTTCAGTAGACTATACCACATTGAACAAAGTTAAGCTAGAGATGTACTTTACTGTGCCTACCCATCTTTCAAGGAGTATCTCTATCCCATTATCACACAGTCTCAGAAAAAGCAATTTAATAAAGCTGATCTCATATGCATTTCAAAACATAATCTTTAACATATTTCATTATTAAAAATTAAAATAGTCTAAATGAAAATTAAATTAAAATTAATTTTTAAATTTTAAATTTTTAATAAATTTGAGTCTGTAATAATAATAGTAAGAGAAACGGTTTTACTAACTTAATTAAAAATGACATATATTTTAGTCATTAACTTTTTAGTCCTTAAAAATTACTTCAATCATAAATTTTTAATTCTTAGGGAATAATTAAAATTATTTTATCTTTATTACTACTGGGTACAGGAATTAATTGACAAAATTGTCCCCATATAATTTGTAGGGTTAAATTTCAATAAATACAATTGTATTAAATATTAAAAAAATTAAATATATTATATGAGACTTGAACAGATTATTCAGTCTAGACATTTGAAAATGCATTAAGAAATGTGTTAGAAACAGTTTCGTATGAAATCAGCATCCCAGAGAAATTCACCAATTCGCAGTTCATTGTGGAAAAGGTAAGAAAAGAAACACACATTATGAGATTTTTGAATAGATTAACATCCTATTTTATTTATTTCATTTGGACCCCAACGAAGCAAAATGTGGTCAAATTTTATAAACGTGCTCCATTCATAAAAATAAGTCACATCTAAATCAGTATTCACATTGATCTATCCTTGTCAACTCGAGTGTTTTCAAAACACGTTGACACTCTTCTTTATCCCTAAAATTATACTTTGTATTAAATTTCGAAACGCATTAACTTCCTTATATTTTAATCGTTTTTTGGAATCAATTAATCTTGTATAAATAACTTAATCCCCAAATTTTGATAATTTTACACATATTTTATTTATAATTTACTTATGTTTTTATATAAAATAATATGAATAAATTAGCATAATAAAAAAAACTGCATAAATAAAATGTCACCTTCAAATATCAAATTATGTAAAAGAAAACCAAAGTGGAACACAGTAAGTACGATTAATTTTCTAGTCTGGTGGATGTAGGGATGGTAATGGGTAAAGTACCCAATAGGCACCCGCAAAATTTACCCATAATGGGTAGGGTATTTACCCGCTATACGGGTACGGGTATGGGTGTGGGTAAAACTTTGCAAATTTTAATGGGGATGAGTGCGGGTATGGGTATCTAAGTACCCACCCCGCCCCATACCCGCATATATATATATATATATATATATATATATATATATATATTAATTATATTATATTATTTTAATTAAATTTATTATTTTTCTTACAATTTCAAATTCAAAAGTTAAAAAAAATATTTTATGTATCAACTTTCTGTTATTAGTATTGAACTTTTCTACTTTAACTCTATTCTCATTCTCAATGTCTGTCTCACTAAAACTTAATAACTATGAAATGTTATTCATTAGAGTTAGTTGTTAATGCCGTCATAAGAGGTTACTAAGTGATCCCACACGAAGGGACAACCATTGTATAGATCTATTGCGTTGTCGTTTTGACATTACCAACAATCAAATCTCACACAAGATAGAATTATCACTCACAAATAACTTGTGTGTTTAGTTTTTTCTTATTGTTTCTAAGAATTTTAGTTTAGAAAATTATTATATTAAGATACATTTAACATTTATGATCTTTGAATATTTGTTTTTTATCTATATTTGTACCTTGTTCGGCAACTACATATTAAATTTTTGTATTATTATGCTACTTATGTGAAGTTATATAAACATATTTTTTTTTTATAAATATTTTTTTCTCAAACAAGCGTGGATAATGGGTACAAGACGGGTATGCGAGTACCCAGAGAGTACGAGTACGGGAATTAATATTCATACCCATGCGGGTATAAGGCAAAGTATGGGTATTTTTTTAAAATACGGGTATGGAGATGGGTACTATAATACCCTACCCATACTCTACCTATTGCCATCCCTAAGGTGGATGAACAAGTTATACTGGTGGATGAAAAAATATATAATGGAAGCAGACCATGGTCCCATGCTGGCCAACACAATATTCAATGCAATGTTCATGTCAACCAGCAACGGTCCGATATCCTTGAAATCTTTCACACGTAGCAAACAAATCTACAACAAGGAAAACTCAACCATTTCTCATTTTTGGCCCCAAAAAATCCACCTACCTGCTTTTATGGCGCCATTGAGGGACCCTCCATTCTCAATTTTATGATTCAAAGCAAAACGCATTGTATCCCTCCATTCATTTTTCACTTCAGAGTTCAGAGTGGTAACGCAGAGTTACAAGCATTCGATCAAGCTTGTTTGATTTACAACTTAAAAATAGAGAGATTACATATCTTCCAATGCATAAAAACTCAGTTTTTCCTAAGCATCCAAATACTTCTCACGAACTCCATTGCAAATGAAAAAATATACAAGCCTGAATGGCCTTAATACCATTCCACATCACATGATGACCTAAAACACTTTGCAATGAATTGCTTGCTCAGGTGGAACATATAAAGAATTATTTTATTAAATTAATTTTCATATATTATTGATATAAAAAAAACCCTATTACATATGACATTTTTGGTAATTATTACAAAAATTAACAGGGCATAATATTGTTCAATTAAATTCTCCTATTTCATGTTTAAATTCTTTTAGAGATAATAATATTTTTATCTAAAAGCTTATAAAATAACCATTTTTTAAAAGATAATAATTATCTTTTAAAAATAAACATGTAAAACACACTAGACGCATTTACAATAAAACGTTATAAGATTGAATTAATCAATTTAAAACAACATATCCGATTCTATCCCATCTAAAAAACTTAACTTAGTACTGGTAATAATTAATATAAAAACCATATTCATCAAAATACACTAGTTACTTTACATAATATACATTAAAATTAAAATATATATCAAAATTAAAGTCGCATTGAAATGTCTAATTGTAAAAAAATTATAAATTAAATTCTAATTATACTTGTATGTCAATTGGAATTAGATTGAATATTAAAATCAAGGCAAGAATCTATCCATCCCATTAGGAAAAATCAATGATTAACATTTTCCATTTATTTTTTAAAAAAATTTGTAATTATAATTAAATTAGATCAGTTCATTAACACGCTTAAAATAACTATTACATTGAATATAAAAATAACCAATACAACAAAGTTTATACACCGATGGAACACAGTGAACTTCGCTATAGCTAAACGATCTGCTGCTAGCAGTAAAATATTCAATGGCGCAGATCACCTCTATTTCCTTAACAGGAAACTCACTCTAACCTATACATTCAACGCCAAAATACTGATAGATTCTTGCCAGGTAAAGGAGAACTTGAATACAAATGAAGCTATTGGTTTTGTTGCTATATAAAACCGTCCCAGCATGGCTCGAAGTAAAATGAAGCTAAAAAGAGAGTCCTGAAACGACACATTTTTGGAAGAAAATTTTTCTTTTTCAATGGAAATCTTCAGCCCAGAGAGAGGCTCTCTTACCCCCTCCTCCCCTGAAGCTCTTAGTAAAATAATTGAATTGACAAATTTAACAAGAAAAAAAAAAAAACAAATTATCCTCAGGGAACTTTGCAGCCATCCCTCTCCTTGCTTCAGTAACATTACATTCCCTCCTTGCTCCACCCAAAAAATTTTCACAAAAAGAATATGTACCTTGTGAATTAAATACCTCCTATCACAAGATGGAAAGGGTCAATTTTTGTAATTAGACTAGAAGCTGATCCAGCTGCATTTGCTCAAGCCAGGCTCCTAAAACAGAATGATCAATAGACTCTACTTGAGGATTGGAATTCAGTCCATCAGCAGATGCAATAGGGCCAGAACCTGCCAACCTGTCTTTGATCTCGGGTGGGGATTCCTTGACAAGGGATTGGACCCAGGATAGATCAGGCTCTTCCCCATTGTTTCCAAGCTCAAATGAGGATGATCTTTGCAATCGACCTAGCTCATTTCCATTTACCGACCAATCTACTTTTCCATTCCCATTAGGAGATCCCCACTTAGACCAGGAGTTAACAGGGGACCCAACAACTGAGGCAGGATTGTTAGCACCAAGGTCCCTTGAACTAAGGCTCCGCAGCTGTTGCTGCTGTTTTTCACGCTGAGCATATGCTGCTAATCGGGAACTCATTGGAGAGATTGGTTCCATACTTCTTGGAGACATCCTTCCAGGAGAAGAAACACCAAATGAAGCCTGTAATAGAGGATGCTCCACATTCCTAGGAGATGAGACATTGGTATTTATGGGTGACAGAGAACTTTGAAGCTGCTGAAACTGATTTAAAACAGCAGATTTGTGTGTTGGGGAAAACACAGAAGCCACTGCTGGGTCAGCATACCGAGGAGATGAAGAAATCTCAGCAGAAAATAGATCATCAAGATTTGATGGTGTTAGTGTCTTAGACCAACCTGACCGACTCACTGAAATGGCACCAGGCCGGGGCTGTGAGAAACAGCCCAAGTCATTCAAAAGCTGTTGCTGACCATCAAAATCTTGCAACACATCCAAGTCTTCAGGTGGCATGTCACGAGCACTTAGAGAAGATCTCAATCGACTAGTTTGAATATTGCTTCCAGGTAAATGAAGAGCTGGCACATTTGGCTGTGGCCAAGCAGATGAGTGAGAAATGCTACTTGCAGATGGAGACATTGGCTGTGCAAAAGGAGATGGAGACATGGAAGAAATTGATGATGGCGAACCAGGAAAGAGGCTCATGGCAGCAGCCATGTCCATGACATTAGGAGTGGAGGCAGATGAACGGGGCGAAGGTACAGCAGATCCAGTTGACACATACAATGGGCGCAGCTCTTCTGCTGTGTGAGCGAAAAAACAGACCCTTCTATTGCAACTAGTACCATCTTTGCACAGCCTTGTTCGATACTGAGCTGGGTGTAGCCAGCACTCAAATACTCCATGAGCATACTCACACATATCCCCTCGTCTACAAGTCCCTTTTCTAAAATCAGGGCATGGCACACAGCTGTAATGGAACTTTCTGGGATCTCTCCTACGAGCATTCTCTCCAGGATGAACAAAAGGACACTCAGTCCAATCATGTGAATATGCACGGGAACAAGGACGAACCTTGAATGAAAACATGCGAAATTCATCTGTTGCATATATGCTGTTCTTTATATCTGGAAGTGATGGATCAACTGGATATTCTTTCTTCTCTGATGTAGAATTAACAGCTGTATCAGTAAACTTTGGTGCCACAGGAGAGGATGGCAACCCATTTTCAGATGATGATAAATGAGAAGATGAATCAGGACTTGAATTATCAGTTACAGGAAAAGAACAGTCATCAACAGATCCATCAGAAGCACTATCCGAAAGAAGATCTTCAAGAATTGCTTTAAAACCATCCAGCTTAGGAGGAACAATAATAACATCAACAGGGCGATTTCCATTAGCATCCACACAATTAATATCAGCACCAGCAGATAAGAGCAACTTCACAACACACACTGCATTAACAGAACCACCTGAAGCAGCACAGTGAAGGGCAGTGCTTTTATCTGATCCGCATGAAAAATTTACATCAACCTCTGGACATGAGAGTATAAGTTTAAGAACATCTATACTCCCGTACATAGCAGCAACCATTAAAGGAGTTCGGTGCTCAAGAACAATTTGTTTAGATCCACTTTGACGGACATACCAGAGGCCAACTTCATTTAATAGAGAAGTATCCCTCTCTAAAGCTAGCTTAAAATCTTCAAAATCATTGTTAGAAGCGAGCTCAAGTAAGCAGCAAAAAGAATCTTCAGTATGAACAGTTAGATTTTTCATGTCTTTCACGTTAGTTGAACCTTCTACTGCAGATGAGGACTCAGTTGAAAGAGATTTTGATTTCTCAGGACCACCGCACATGCTTCAGTTAGCTGGACAATAATAATCATGAATTTCAATAACTAACCACAGATAAAAAAGAAATTAAAGAAAAGATAGTTAAATCCCCCAGAAAAGTAAAGGACAACAAATAAAACAGATAGATAGAGATCCACAATTACAAAATTAGCCGTATAGCTGTGGTTCTTACAATTGATTTACAAGCGTTAAAGTAGTTGCAAGTCCCTATACCTTACAAAAAAAGCTCAATGATTCCTATAATTTAAAATTTATAATTATAAATAGGTGCTTCTAACTTAAATAAAAATTAATTGGGTTCCTCGAAATCTATGACGGACAAAATTACAAGGACCTCTTCGAATTTTCCAAGATACAATATCAGGGTCGAAAAGGATATCAATTACCCTAGAAAGTCATGAAATAAAAACTAAACAAACCAAGGAGGAAAAAAAACAACTGAATACAACATTCACATGACAATCAAATGAAATTTAAATTACAATTAAGGTGAATAAAAAGGGTAATTAACTCAGAACAAAACACCACAAGCACATCACAGACATGAGGTGGGAAAATTGCTTAAATGTGTGTTTGGTGTAGCTTATTTTGAAAGGAAAAAAAAAATCATCACTTATTTTTACAAGTTTCTTTGACACAGCTTTTTAAAATAAGCTACTATTTCTTAAAAAATAAAATCACCAAAAATGGATCTAAAAATAGCAACAACATAATAATCATTTCATACCTTCGGAATAGGTGAAATTAAACATCACAAACAAACAAGCTTAAAAAACAGGCGCAGGATTGCAGAATACTCAACACATAAAGTAAACCCAAAAGAGCCAAGATAATATTCCAGCAAAATCTACGCAATGGCACAGATCTCAACGCAATGGCACAGATCTCAACGCAATGGCACAGATCTCAACAAAATCCAGAATCAGAATCATATCAAACAAGATGACTAAAGTTAAAACCTTGTCACAAAAAGCATTTTAAAAAAATTAAGAGAAGGTTGAAAAAAAAACACATGAGAATGATTCTTATTCCCAACAGAATACAAAAAAAAAAAAAAAACTTTTGTATATATCAGGAATCTATACCACCAAAATCCAAGGTAAAAAGAAACTAATTAAAAATTAAAGAAAAAGCGAAAAAAAATGCAAAGTAAAAGAAGGCCACAAACCACACCGAATCGTTAATTTATTGTTAAAACTGAAAATTATAAACGATTAAAATCAATTAAACTTCACGAGAAATTAATTTTACGTAGTAAATCGCACCGTTAAAGCACAATTTCTTTTCTGACCTGCAATCAGTTCAAGCGTTTCAGATCGAGTAATAGACTGGATTCAATTGAAGAGTAAGAACTCACCGATTACGAATGGATAAGGAGAAGATCGAATTCCGAACCCGATCAAAAAAATAACGGGAAGAGGAAAGTTTCTGATTAATCCAAATCAAAAGCTGAAGAGTGAATCTGAAGCACAAAACGAGATTCGGCGAAGGCAAGTTTCAGAGCTTCCATCTCCATCTATAGAACCGAGGAAACATGGTAAGAGAGTTCATGGAAGGGAGAAAGTAAAGTCTTCGAAATGGAAATTGAAATTGAACTGAAATGAAATGCTGGGAAATTTAGGGCGAATTTAAAAAACGAACCTATTGGGGGAGAACGGAAATGGCAGTGAAATGAGATGAAATGATACTGAAATGCACGCCAAATGAAGTAGAGGAGTGGGCAAGCGGGGAACCGGAAGAGCCGGTAGGAGGAAAAGCTGGGACCGAAAGGTGTCGGAGAGAGGAGACAATGGGTTGAACCGGTTGACCGTGGAGGATTTGATTTGGATGATTAAATGAAATGAAATGGGATATTTGGAATCCGCCAATCAGAGGGTGGCAATTGTAAGAACAGTAAGGGCTAAGGATAGCAGTCAATTGTAGAGTCAAATCGAGTGAAAAAAAAGGCTCTGTTCAACAGGACAAAAATCTTAGCAAAAGTCCAAATCATTAAAAAAAATAAGATTGAAAATACATGCATATGGATTTTTTTTAATTAATTTTTATATTCAAAAAATTATATTTTTATTTTATATAAATATTTTATTATAATTTAGTTTTTATCATTGTAACGTCATTAAAAAATATAATAAAATATTTATAAAAAATAAAATAAAACTTTAATAAATATATAAATTAATTCATAAATAAATATTATTATAATAACTAAATAAATATTTTACCTAAGTCAAAAATAGGGGTTTTTACTAAAAAAATAATGAAAAAAAATTATTTAAATGTTTGGATTAGTTTTATATATATAGCTTTTAGAAATAATACATAAAAATATAATATTTTAAAAAAATTATAAAAATGAAATTTAAAAATTGACATTGAAAAGTATTTATATAAGTAAAATATTTAGAAACAAAAAAATTTATAAAAAGTCAAAAATTGATAACTTTTGAAAAGATATTAAAAATGTTTAAACAAACAAAAGTTCTCATGGATGATTTTTAAAATAATAATAAAATATTTTAAAAATAAAAAATCATCATTAACAATATTGGTAAAAAAAATTATATTATGTAAATTTGTTAAAAAATTCATATTTTATAATTTTAAAATTAAGAAATTATTAAAAAAAAACTACATGTTTAGGATACTTTTTGTTAAGTCAGTAAAAGTACTGTCCATAAAAGAGTGATACTTATTTAAAAAATATTTAATTAAGCATTTAATTTTTACAAAAATTATATTATTTGAAATTTAGTTTTTATAAAAAATTTAATTACGATATAATTCTTATTTTTTTCATAAATTATTATTTTTAATTTTTAATTGAAATGATTTATTATGATATTATCAAGTGTCAATTTTTTATTATATCACATTAATTAAAGTAATTAAAAATAATAATTTATAAAAAAATAGATTATAAATTAATTCTTTAAAAAATTAAATTTATTCAAAATAACATGATATACATTACACGTTTGACATGTAATGTAATGTGCATGCAGTCCGTACCACACATTACAAAGCAAAAAGCAATAATGTGTGTTGGGGGTGAAATGTTGCCATGTAATAACATAGAACTAGTCTTGTCCTGTCCTGCAATATGTGAGACTAGTTTCAGTTGTGATGCAATAGGTTTTCTTTTAATTTCATCAACAAATACATGTAACTTGAGTCTTTTGTTTCAGATTATTTTTTTCACAGCAAATTCAATATCCATATATAATATAATATTTTACCTATATTCAAGTTTGTGATATTTTTAATATTTTATTTTGTTTGGTTTATAAAAACATATTATAAAGGTTAAATTATAACATATAGATGCTTAGGATTTATTTGATATGAATAAAAGATATCATATAAATAAATTATTAAATATTATTTATTTATTAAATATTAATGAATAATTGTTTTTTTGTATTTATTTTATATATTTTAACTTTTGTTGTTAATTTAATGCTTTTATTATTTTTTTATTTACTTTTATAATAAAATTATATTCAGACCTAAATGTTATTATTATTTATTATATATTTTGTCATTGTGGCAGAATAAATAATTATTTATTCATTTATTTTAATATATATATATATTACACTATAAATTAAAATTTTAATTGATAAAAAGTAACTCATTAAATTTTTTGGTAAACGCTTGTTAATATTTTTATCTTTTTAACATTTGAATTTTAGTTTTTTTATAAATTAAATTTATAAAATCACTTTAATTATTATTTACTATTATGGCATTATTATTGTGTGGTAAAATTTTTATTATTTAATTTTTATAATTATTAGTACACACTGTATTGTTTATTTTGTTTCACTATTTTATTTATATACAAAAAACTTATTGGGCTATGGTTAGTATTTTCTATTTTTTATATTAAAAGCAGCTAGTATTTAATTTTTTTAATTATACTTTTGTTATAAATTCAAAATATTTATAGAGTTTGATGTTATTGTTGTTTATTAATATAAAATTTATTTATATTTTTATTGATTAATATGTTTTTAGCTTAGATCACGTAATGTTGTTAATTTTAAAAAAAACTTATGTCATAGATATGTTTTCTTTTATTATATTTAAAATTGTTAGCATTCTAATATTTTAATTTTAATATATTTATAAATGTAATTTATGTTAACTTGAAAAAATATTATATATATATGGCCTCATAATTTATAATTAAAATGTTAGTTACTTATAATTTATGATGAATTAAATATATTTCATAAATAATTTATATAGTGTTTTTAAATTATAAATTATTAGTTAATACAAGTCCTTATTTTATATATTTAAAATATTGTCAATATTTGAAACTTATGTAATTAATGATTGTTGCATTTTATATTATTAACACAATTATAATTTACTTAAATTTGTTAGATAAATTTATATAGTAAATATAAATTCTTTGTTGAATATATATGATATGAAATTACTTTAATTTAGTTTTAATTTTTAAAAAATGTAGAATAAGTAGAATTGTTATTATTATATATTAGAATAATAAAATATTAGAGGAATGAATATGATTTTTGAAAAAAAAAACTAAAATTTAAATAAAGCATGAAATAAGTTTGATGTTACAATTGCAAAAAATTTTGCTGTAATTGTGAGAATTGATTTTACTTTCATGTGATAATGAAAATGACAGCTCTTTATCTATACGAAGTTAGTAAAAGGTTAAACTTTAGTTATAATTATTACATGTTAAAAAATGTTAATCATGTAATTTATATATTAATGTTGTATACGATTGACAAGAAATTAGTATATATATATATAATGTTATAATAAAAGTATACTTAAATTATATGTTGATATTGTAATTGGCGTACTTTTTCAATTTTGTTGTAATTATCAAACTTACTTGATTTTACTTTCATGTGATAATAAAAATGACACCACTTTAGCTATATGAAGTTAGTAAAGGTTTATTTGTGGTTATAATTATTACATGTTAAAAAATATGTTTATATAATTTTAATAAAAAAAAAATTTCTTGTACATTACTAAATGATGTTGGGGTTTGGGGAGTAAAAACATAAATACAAATTAAAAGATGAAGATAAAAGAAAATTTCTAATAAAATATTTTAATTTACAATATTATTTTAATTTAAATTTCCATGCATGATATGAGAAGTTTATATATGGTTATAACTTCACTTGCATTACCAATATCGTATTAATAATAAGCATGAGAAGTTTAGAGTAATAACAAACTGATTTTTAAAATTAAAAAATCAATTGTATGATATAATAAATTACTATGTTAAAATAAAATATTAATTATATTTATTAAAAATTAATATTTATTGATTAGTAATTTAAAATATTAAGTTAAAGTACCAATCTGACTAACAATAAATTATCCGAAACAAAAATGTGAACAACTGAATTATAAAACTAAATTTATATACCAACTAATTTATTTTAGTTTAAAAATTATTACAATTACCTACTAATTAAAATGTAAGCAACAATAAAAAATTTTAAATTAAAAACTCAAGTGTATTTTATAACAAATTATTAATTTAAAATAAAGATGTAATGCTATTTACTAAGATTTAGTTTTTAAACTAATCAATTAGTAATTTAAAATATAAATTTTAAAAATATTTACACAAAATTCGAATTAAGGTAACAAATAAGTAATTTTAAATTTAATTTTTAATTACTAATTATTAAAACAATTTAAATAACAAATAACTTAATGTTGATTACAAATTTAGACTATTAGCTAATATTTAAAGTTTAAGTGACAAAAATTTATTTTTAAAGAAAAATTAAAGTCCACTTACTAACAATTTAAATTTAACTAACAATTAATATTATATAACTAATTAATTATTAATTTTAAAATATAAAACTATTGACAAGGAATTAAAATTAAAGTAACAAATAAGTATTTTAGAATTTAAATTTAGTGGTGTCTAATTAATAAAACCAAATTAAGCCAAACAAATTACTCGTTTAAAACATAAATTTGTAACTACAATTAAAATTGTATTTGGGAACAAGTAAATTCAAACTAACAAATTAATTACTTAAAAAACTTCATGCACTAGTTTAAATTTAAAATTAAAACTTATTCAATAACAATAATAATTAAAGTAAAAATATATGATTTAAATAAAATTTCAAACTATATTTACTAAATAAATTTTTAGTCATTTTAAGACTCTATGTTATAATTTAGTTTTCATTAGTAAAAAATTTATATATCAATTTTATATAAATATTTATTTTAAATATTGTCTTTACCATTACAATACATTATGATAAATAAGTTAATTTTCTGTTTTATTTATCAAATGGTTATTTAACGTGATTTGTTATTTATAAGATTTAATTTTTTTTAGTTTTTTTATTTATTTTTTAAATAATTTAGTTCTTACGAGTAGAAAGGTTTATATCAGTTTTTATATAAAAATTTATTCACAATTTTATTTTTATCATTACAATAACAATTTCATATTAATATCAAATGATATTTTTTTATTGACTTCATAGAAATATTTTAAATTCTTTTAAAGAAAACTCATATTTTACTTCATACTTCTCTAAAATAGTACAGAATTAATGTGAAAAAGACATATTTGATTAGTTATGACTTATGAAGTTTATTAAGTTGGGTTGATAGACTCGTAATCCAGTACATACTTCTTTAAATACTAAGGTTTTAACCAAAACTGATCTATCTATTCGAACCAATAGGTTTTTAACAATATCGCCTTAATGATACACTACATGCGCAATACATATAATGTATATCACCCTCATAGTTTTAAATTTATATTTTTGTTTAAAAGAATACCCTTGATATATATATATATATAATTTTGGTAAAAAACTTTAAATTAAGTGTTTAATTACAATGATGTAATATTAGAAATGTTTATAAGTTAGCTGAAACTTTCTTAAAGATAAAATAAAATTTAAATTAACTATATTTTACTTGATTAATTTAGTTCACTTTTTTTTAATTAACTTAAATTTATATAATTTAATTAAATTATGTTAGTTTGATTTGAATTATTCTTTATTAGTAGTGAAGTGTAACTTAAATTAGACTTTGATTCTTTCTAATAATCTATGGAATTTTAGGGTTGTGATGTAGATTAAAAACTTGGATAAATTAAAAATTAGTAAAAGTTGTTTATTATTAATTTTTTTTTACAATACACCAATTGTCAACTAATTTTAACTTTGTCCGTAACTAACTATTTTTAAATTTTTCTGTATTGACAGCAAAGCATTTTTACTGTAGAAAACAAATGTTTATTCATTTCTTTAAAGCAATAACTATTTTAAATTTATAAAAAAAAAAACATCAGTTTAAACTTTTAATACAAATTTAAGGAAATAAATTATTTAAAATATATATATATATATATATATATATTAAATTTTAACTATATAAATATAGACTAATGAATTAGCCTATTTTAAAATAAGTAATGAAAAATAATTTAAATTGTTTTCAGCTTGTCAATCTCTGTATTAAAAATAATTAGTCCGGTGTATATTTTTAAATTAATATTGACTAACAATTGTAAGTAAATTATACTTTCTTATGTAACAATAATTTTTCTTTTATATTTATTAATTCTATTTTAAATTTTAAAAATTAAAGTTGTTATTTAATTTTTCCTTATTATCTTATCTAAATTTTATATTTTGCATAAATACTTATTTTATATTTATTAAAATAATCTTATTTTTTCTATTTTTAAAATTTAAAGTTATAAAATTATCTTATTTTTATATTTAAAATTTTTTATATTTTGATGCATTGATAGTTATAAAGTTAAGTTAAAATTTTAAAAAATATTGTTTAAAATAATGTTATTATATATGTATAATTATTTAGAGGATATAAATTTTATTTTTAATTATTAAATTATATATTTTTTAAAAATAATAAAATATTAGTATATTACACGTATTACTAAACTAATTTTTATAAAATTCACATTGATAAATTCATTCTACACTTAGTCTTATAATGTAATTCATGAATGATAATTGAGATTTTTGAGTTATTCATTGAGAGAATTTATTATTAAGTCCATTTTGTTCATATTTCAGGAAAGAAAAGGATCAAGAAATGAAAGTTTTAAAGGATAGTGGGAATTGAAGCAAAAATCAGAACCAGAGATATACACAGGCAAATACATGGCCGTGTATTTTAGCGTACAACTCATTGGTTGCATCAATCAAGCACAAAATCAGAACCAAATATATACACGGGCAAGTACACGCCCGTGTATATGGGTGTGTATCTAGCTGGTCGTATCAATTGAAGTACATCATCCAAACCAGAGATATACATTGTCAAAGTACATGATCATGTACATGAACGTGTACTTCCCAAAAAAGTTGTGAAGAGTAATTTTTAGAAACCAAAGATGTACACGGCTAAAGTACATGGCCGTGTACATGAGGTGTGTACTTTTAACTTACGCTAGAATTAAACTTCTTCGACAAGATAAGCTATGGGACCATTGATATAAAAAAAAAAACTTAGCACAAAAACCTAGGGGACGCTATTTTTAGGAAAGAAAGAGTCAGTGACAGCTAGAGAAGGGAATCAAGCTCTTTAATTTCTTTCTTTTGTAATTGTAGTTTCGACATGTTTAGGTTTTAATTTTCCTTTGAGTATCTAGACGTAATGAATCATATTTGACCAAATCTTCTTGAATTCTTCTTAATGCTATTTTATGTTCTCTTCTCTTGGGTTTAATTGAGTAGTATTAATTGTCTCCTATCTTATTTTCTTGTTTGATTTTGAGTAAAAATCTTACATGAATTTACCATTACTCAATTAAAAGGACTTAAATGTATTTCTAGAGATAGAAAAACATGAGTTTTCTATATTAGGAATAACCCTAATTATGAAATTCATAATGAACTTAATGCAACTTAAGAGAATTAATTAAGGAAGAGATTCTGATTAATTAATTGAAAGTTAGGAACCATTATCCTTGAGAAAGATAGTGGTTTATTTCAGGAATTCCTGCAGCAACAAGGGACTAGAACTAAGTAGTTGAAGGAGAATTCTAGTTATTTGGACATTTAAGAGAATTTACAATCTAGATACTCACTTATTTCTCTTGAATACACTTAGTCATACTTTTCTAGGTTTTATTTTGATAGAAATCTATTCCTTTTAATTTGTTATTTTCTTAGTTCAGCAATTTTATCAACATAATCTCTTGCTCATATTCATTAACAATTGGATAATCAAAAAAGCAATTCTTAGTAACAGTCCCTGTGGATACGACACTTAGTACTCTATTTTTTGCAATATTACTCTGATAATGAGTGCACTTGCCCAGTAATCAATTTTTATACATCAAGTTTTTGGCGCCGATGCTGGGGACTGATTAATTATGATTCCCTTGATTATGTATTTACTAATTTTCTTTATTTCTTTAGTCTTGAATTAACTTTTCTATTTTGCTTTCATTCTTTTTAGGAGCTGATTTTTCTAATGTATGACCAGAACCCGTTCTGTTGCACTATTTGAAGAACTATTTGAATTTCACCCAGAGATAGAAAAAACTTTGTGAAAAATTCAGAAAGAGAGGCGACTGCTAGTACAGAGGAAAAACGCACAAACTCACATGGAAGGAATGACAAACAATGAAGAGCAACCAAGGACCATGTCCGATTATGCTCGTCCATCATTAACTGGGACATAATCTAGCATTATTCATCCGGATGTGTAGGAAAATTTTGAAATAAAGCCCAATGTTATTCAAATGGTTCAACAGTTTGTTCAATTTGATAGGTTACAAGATGAAGATCTCAATGCTCACATCGCTAATTTTCTGGAGATTTGTGATATGTTCAAGATTCATGGAGCTACTGATGATGCAATCCGCTTGAGGTTATTTCTATTTTCTCTCAGGAGTAGAGCAAAATAGTGGTTGAACTCTCTCCCATGTGGATCTATTACTTCATGGGAGGCCATGGCAGAAAAGTTCTTAGCAAAGTATTTCCCTCCCACAAAGACTACTAAGATGAGGAATGATATCTCTTCCTTTTACCAATTGGTGTCAGAGACTTTATATGATACATGAGAGAGGTTTAAGGAATTATTAAGAAAGTGCCTACATCATGGGATTCCTGATTGGCTTCAAGTGCAAACCTTCTACAATAGATTGAACTCCGCCACAAGACAAATGATAGATGCTGCAGCTAGGGAAACTTTAAATAGCAAGACATCAAGGGCTGCACAAGAATTGTTTGAAGAAATGACAATGAACAATTATCAATGGAGTTCCACTCAATCCAAACCTGCGAATTCTGTTGGGATTTATAGTCTTGATGCAGTAACATCCTTGGCAAGACAAATTGAAGCCTTAGGAAAGAAAATTGATGTTTTATTTATGAACCATCCAGTTGCTCCGGTAATGAGATGTGATATTTGTGGAGGAGGCCACCCTAATCATAAGTGTCAAACTACTCAAGAAGAGCATGCCAATGTGATAGGAAATAGACCACCTTACCAACATTTTAATGGCATGAACAATCTAGACTAGAGGAATTATGCAAACTCACCATGGAACAATAACCAACAGCCAATGAGGAACAACATACCCCTAGGATTTCAACAAGCTTCACATCCACCACCACCCCCACTTGAAAAGAAATCAAACCTTGAGGAGCTGATGACTAAATTTATTCAAACTTCAGAATCTCGATTTCAATCCACCGAGACAGCACTAAGAAATCAACAAGCCTCTATCCATAATCTAGAAAATCAGTTGGGTCAATTTTCTAGACTCCTCCCAGAAAGATTCCAAGGAAGCTTGCCTAGTAATATTTAGACATATCCTAAGGAGCAGGTCAAGGCAATGACATTAAAGAGTGGCAAAATATTACAAGAGAAGGGGAAGTAGAAAAAGCAGAAAAAACCCCCTACAGTGAAGGAATTCGTACCTACACTTCCCTATCTAGCAAGATTGAAGAAAGACAAGGATGAGGAACAATTTGGTAAATTTCTTTCTTTATTTCGTCAACTTCATATCAATTTACCATTTGTTGATGCCTTGGCACATATGCCCAGGTACGCCAAATTTCTGAAGGATCTATTATTCAATAAGAAGAAGTTGGAGGAGTTGGTCACGGTGACTCTGAATGAAGAATGCTCAGCAATTCTGCAAAACAAGACACTCAAAAAATTAAAGGATGTAGGTAGTTTTACTCTTACTTGTCTCATTGGTAGATTGATAGTCGATAGAGCTTTAGCTGATTTAGGTGCTAGTATTAATTTAATGCCATATTCTATTTTTAAGAAATTGGGTTTAGGAGAACCTAGGCCAACTAGGATGAGTATTCAACTAGCTGATAGGTCAATTAAATATCATAGGAGTATCATTGAGGATGTGCTTGTAAAAATAGACAAATTTATTTTTTCTGTTGATTTTATGATTCTTGATATGGACGAGGACACTGAAGTCCCCTTGATCTTAGGTCGTCCATTTTTAGCTACTGCAAAGGCTATAATTGATGGAAAGTTAATTTTAAGAGTTGGAGATGAAAAAGTCACTTTCAAAAGTCCTGATGCAATGAAAAAGTCTTTGAAACAAGATGATTCTTGCTACTTCATTAATGTAATTGATGATTGTGTTTCTGAGTGTGCATAGGAATTCTTGATTTCAGACCTATTGGAAAGAAGCTTAGTTCATAAAGGAGAAAGAGATGATATAAGCTTGCTAACTCAAGAACAGTGGTGTCATTTAGAAGCCACCAAGCTATTATTGAAAAAGAGGGACTTTGAAGTTTTGGAGTGGAATTAGAAGAAGCAACCCAACTCATCCACTAATGAACCACCAGATGTAGAATTGAAGGTCTATTATGATAAAAAAAATCAAGGGAGGTAAACTATTTCAAAAACATGATTTAGTACTATTGTACAAATCTCGCCTCAAATTATTCCCAAGTAAACTAAAACTCCGTTGGTCTGGACTGTTCTCTGTGCATGGGGTATTTTCTTATGGTACAATTGAATTAACTCATCCAGAAAAAGAAAACTTTAAGGTGAATGAACATAGGCTGAAACTGTACCAAGGGGGTCAACTTCAAACTTTTACAAATGAAAAGTTTAAACTCCTTCATGTTGAATGTTGAATTACATTGAATAATTTAGGTTAGGTAGGTTTATTTTATTTTAATTTAGTTATTTATTTGCTCATTTATTTATATATTTTTGCTAAAAAAGAAAGAAAGAAAAAAGAGAGAAGTGAGATATATAGCCATTTACACGACCATGTAGATGGCTGTGTGGCCGTGTACTTTTATTTTGCTTAGATGTGGGTCGAGCAGAGATGGACACACTTGGTTTACACGCCCATGTACTTTGCTTCCCTTTTGATTTTTTCGGGCAGTGATGTACACGGTCATCTACATGGCCGTGTACCCAACCATGTAAACACCCAGGTAAGCCCTCTTTCTATCTACTCAGATGATGCTGCAGCATTTTAGTTTACCATTAGGATAGTCTTAGTTGTTGGATTTCTTTTACTTATGTTATTTTCAGAATTTAAATTGCTCTTATTTCTTTATTGCGTTATTTTGATTATTCCTTTCCTTTTGTCATTTTGAACTGAGTTGAATTTTTCTATAAATTCATTTTGATCAGGTTTCTTCTTCATTTGAATCTCATATTAGCTTTAACTCCTACCACTCCTTGCATATTTCTATTGCTTTTCAAGGAAGTTTCAGTTTTCACTTTAATTCTTATATTTGATTGAGAACAATGCAAATCTTATAGTGTGGGGTGAATACTTATAAATGTCTGAACTTATTTTTTGTTTTGTTCTTGAGCAAATATTGAGTCAGTTTTGCTTTTGCATCAAAGATGATATTCCTGGATAGTTACATAAATAAAATGTTTTGTTGAAAAAAAATCATATGCAGTTATTTTGGTTATTTGAATTGTACTTTTAATTGTTTCTTGACTGAAGTATTAGAAGACATTTCTGATTTGAGGACCTTGAATCTATACTAAATGTTTAAGAATATATGCAATTAATAGAATAATTAATATCTAAAAAAATTGGGACTCTGCTAAAAAAAAAGAGCATGCCATATAAGCATATCTAGTTGAATGTGGATTGCAGGCATGTCCGAATACCACATCCTAGAGCCCCGAAATTGTTTGAGGTACTGATATGGAAAGCAAGAGATGGAATATCCATTAATACCTTGTGCTAATTGGGATGGAGCATAAGATGCACCATGTTAGTTGATCATGGCTCAAAGTGAAGAAATAACACCTTGGAAGAATTCAAAATGTTAAGTGTGATTTTTAAGAATTAATGGTATAAAAGGTCCTTATTCAGTTTTGTTTGAAGTTACAAAGGTTGAGAGTAAAAGAAGGCACAATTTGATGTTTAAGAATTATTATCCCTCCAAAAATTTGAATAAAATAAAATAAAAATTAGGAATTTGATTCTTTGTTGTCAAAGGTAAATTTGATCCATTTCTTTGCTTGGCGACAAGCAATCGTTCAAGCTTGGGGGAATTTGATAAATTCATTACACACTTGGTCTTATAATGTAATTCATGAATGATAATTGAGATTTTTGAGTTATTCATTGAGAGAATTTATTATTAAGTCCATTTTGTTCATATTTCAGGAAAGAAAAGGATCAAGAAGTGAAAGCTTTAAAGGATAGTGGGAATTGAAGCAAAAATTAGAACTAGAGATATACACGGGCAAGTACATAGTTGTGTATCTGAGTATGTAACTCACTGGTTGTATCAATCAAGCACAAAATTAGAATCAGAGATATACACGGGCAAGTACACGCCCGTGTATATGGGTGTGTATCTAGCTGGTCACATAAATTGAAGTACATCATCCAAATCAGAGATGTACACGGTCAAAGTACATGGCCGTGTACATGAGCGTGTACTTCCCAAAAAAGCTGTGAAGAGTAATTTTTAGAGACCAGAGATGTACACGGCTAAAGTAAATGGCCGTGTACATAGGGTATGTACTTTTAACTTATATTAGAATTAAACTTCTCCGACAAGATAAGCTATGGGACTACTGATATAAAAAAAAACTTGGCACAAAAACCTAGGGGATGCTGTTTTTAGGAAAGAAAGAGTCAGTGACGACTGGAGAAGGGAATCAAGCTCTTTAATTTCTATCTTTTGTAATTGTAGTTTCGACATGTTTAGGTTTTAATTTTTCTTTGAGTATGTAGACGTAATGAATCCTATTTGACCAAATTTTCTGGAATTCTTCTTAATGCTATTTCATGTTCTCTTCTCTTGTGTTTAGTTAAGTAGTATTAATTGTCTTCTATCTTATTTTCTTGTTTGATTTTGCATAAAAATCCTGCATGAATTTACCATTGCTCAATTAAAAGGACTTGAATGTATTTCTAAAGATAGAAAGACATGAGTTTTCTATATTAGGAATAACCCTAATTATGGAATGCAACTTAAGAGAATTAATTAAGGAATAGATTCTGATTAATTAATTGAAAGTTAGGAACCATTATCCTTGAGAAAGATAGTGGTTTATTTCAGGAATTCCTATAGTAACAAAGGACTAGAACTAAGTAGTTGAAGGAAAATTCTAGTTATTTGGACATTTAGGAGGATTTATAATCTAGATACTCACTTATTTCTCTTGAATACACTTAGTCATACTTTTCTAGGTTTTATTTTCATAGAAATCTGTTCCTTTTAATTTATTATTTTCTTAGTTCAGCAATTTTATCAACATAATCTCTTGTTCATATTCATTAACAATTGGGTAATCAAGGAAGCAATTCTTAGTAACAGTTCATGTGAATACAACAATTGGTACTCTATTTTTTTGCAATATTACTCTCAATAATCAGTTTTTATACACCACACATTTAAGAGCAAAATAATAAAATAATAATAGAAGATATATAGTAAGAATAAAAAAAAAATATTATCATACGTATGTTGTTTTTTTAGAAATAAAGACAAATTCATTTATTTAATTTTATATTCTTTTTATTTATTATTAGATTTTATTTATACTTTTAATTTTATTTATTATAATTTTATATTCTTTTTATTATTACGAATTTTATCTTATTATTAATTTATTATATTCTATATATATATATAATATTCACTTAGTTATAATCACTAGAATTCATATATACTTAGTATTAATATAATTTATCAAAATAAATAATTTATTAAATAAATAATAATCCAAAATACGTAAATATAGCTCAAAACCTACATAAAACTAACTAGGCAAATAATATACTTTAAACTATACTTAATTTAGGTACAATCTAACTCAAATTTAACACAATTTTTAATAAGCTATCCAAGATTGACAACTCTAGCTTCAACCCCACACGAAGGAGGCTTTCAAGCACATTTTAATGCAGCCTTTAGTAAGCAAAAGGTTTGGGAGCGTCGAGAAGTTGTCATATTTCAATGGGTTTTTGCTTTCTTAGAGGAAGATATGTTTAAATTAAGTTAGATTATTACAAGTGATAAAGTTTTTTTAGTATTAAATTTAAATATAAAATTACTGACTAAAAATGATATATTATGATCTAGTTTGAATAAGGTTATACGTAAATTTTTATAAAATAATTAATATACAAAATAAATAATTTTTTTATAAATTAAAAGTAATTTGTTTGCTCAAATTTTTAAAAAATAAAATAAAATAAAAAATATAAATTGATTCTAACTCATGAGAAGGGTTTAATTCTTTTTACTTCTTTATTTTTTACTTCAATAAATATTTATATAAAAATTTATTTAAATTGAGTATATATAATCTACATATGTGGTGCTATATCACAATGGTGTTGTGTTCCAAAGAATAGATAAAATAACTTTTAAAAAGTTCCAAATACATCTATGGGCTCAAGATGATTAAGTTTTTCTACCACTTGTCTTATATTTTATTTCCCTTCTCCATAGCCTTGAACTAGTTGCAAGCCTGCAATAAAGAATTCCAGTATGTGTTTGCTTATTTTATCAGTTGTATCTTTTAAAATATAATAAAGCGATTATTCCCATAAATGATTCATCTTTGTTTGGTGCTTTGCTCAAACACTCAAATTTTTTATGGGTTAGGTATCCAAAAACCCAAATTAAAGCAATGTGCACTCCCTATAGTAGATAATGTATTGTAGCTTATCCAAAACGGGGAAGTGGGCTCCTTCCATCTTCCTCTTTAATATTCTTTTACTCTGTACATTGTATATACCCCACAATTTTGTACTGCATTTTCATTTTATCAATTTTCATTTACATAATACATCACGTTTATTGAATTAATAATGCAATAATATATTAATATATTTGTCGTTTTCTAGACTATATATATATATATATATATATATATATATATGTCGTTTATTATTTTATTTTGATGATGTAGTTCTTAATATGAGAGCGAAATTAATGGCTAAGCATGAAGATAATTAAAATCCAAGTCTGATTGAAAGACTTAGAAGTAATTGAATTGAAGGAAAAAGACGGAGGAAGAGAAGAAGAGAGGATTGCATTTGCATTTAGATAAACGACAAAAGAAGTAACTTTCAACCTCTGCAGGCGGGAAACCGAGAACGCATTGTGGTTTGGTTAATGAATCATAGTTTATAATTTTAAAACTGAGAAA